TTTGTCCAGATGGCATTAGGATATTAAAGAAAGCAAAAACTGGGAAGCACCCAATAAAATGTGCAGAAGAAACCAGGGATATGTTTCAAAGTGCACAATTTATGGGAGTTTTGTTGGTAAAAAAGCTAAACTCCAAAAATTTCTGGAACTACAGCTCTCACATTTACTGGACAAATGTTTCAGCTTCAAAAATTTCTGAAGTTACATGGCAGATAGACCCTGAAGAAGGCTTTAAGAACATATACAAGCCAAAACACATTAGGCTTTTTTATCATAATAAAATATCCAACAAGTGAGCACCTTGTGCCCTTGGTTTCTTCTGCACATTGGGGTATTGGACGCCTTATTGTGGATGCATCTGGTTTCTAAGGCCTGAATCCTTCTAGTAATACCTTTCAGAGTAGGCAACTGAATTGGTTGTTAGATGGTGAATCAGCACTTACATAAATCCCATTGATCTGTGAGAGTACTCTAGTTGGAAGTTGTTATTGTTAAGTGCCTTCAAGTCAATTCTTATAGCAATCCTATCATATCTCTTCTGGGAAAATTTTCCTCTGAGACTGAGAGAAAGTGACTTGCCCACAGTTACCTAATGGGTGTTTGTGGCTGGGTAGGAATTCAGTCCCCGGCCTCTCAAAAGTGCTAGTCTAACTAACACTCCAACCACTGCATCACACTGGCTCTGGATTATTCATAGGATATTCACCATTGCCTTCCTCTTACAAAGAGTGTGTGTCTTGCCTGAGATCACTCAGTGGGTTTCTGTGGCTGAACAGGGATTTGAAGCCTGGTCTCCCAGAGCCCTAGTCCATTTGCCATATAGGAACTGAAACAGCTGCAAACCAAAACATCCACTTATTGATGCTCAGTTCATACTATGAGACATAACCAAGACATATCCACAGCAAAGGCTGGAGATGCTTTTTTTTTGAAAATCTAATAAATAATAAAAAGAAGTTCTCAAGGCATTTATTTGGCTGCTGCTTTGTATCTGGAAGAAGATGAAATGAAAAATGGAGGAAGGGAAATGAAGGAGTCAAGAAGCACCATTGAGACTGATTTATTTTAGCATGGATTGATACCCAGAAAAGCTCATGCATAAATTTGTTAGTCTCAGAGCTGTTTGTTTCCTTCATTTTTCACCTGCCTCTTTTCTATTTTATGCTGAAACTAACATGGCTGTCTCTTTGAAACCTATTACTGTGGGACAAGAGAGTTTATGTTTTTGTAGCCTGAGTTCCAGTCTAACTCCCTGGTTTGAATTTGACTGAGTGTGTTGCTAATGTCTTTCTATCAGAGACACCCGGCAGCTATTAGAAACAGTTTTCCTTTTTGTAGGTGCATGTGGTTCTGAAGTTGTGGAAGAGTGGATTCAGCCTGGACAGTGGCGAGCTGAGGAGCTATCAAGACCCATCCAATTCCCAGTTCCTGGAATCCATCCGCAGGGGGTAATAATGGGGTGCAGGAAGCCACCCAGTATCAAAGCTCCAGGAAAAGAGATTCCACCTCAACATTAGGGGGAACTTCCTGATAGTAAGGGCAGTTCGACAGTGGAACACACTCCCTCAGAGAGTAGTGGAGTCTCCTTCCTTGGAGGTCTCTAAGCAGAGGTTGGATGGCCATCTGTCAGGGATGCTTTGATTGGGAGTTCCTGCATGGCAGGGGGTTGGACTGGATGGCCCTTGGTGTCTCTTCCAACTCTATGATTCTATGATTCTATGAAATGTTTCAGGCTGGGGCTGTTTACTCTGTGAAATTTTGCATGTCCTTCATGGAGGCAGAACAGGTCCCTCTCGGGAATTGCGACTTCCAGCAGGAGACGGCAAGGCGATCGGTTCGCAGTGAGGGTTCTCCGCGGATCGCCTG